TCAATCCCAGGAATTTCACTCGCTGTTAATTGCATGGGAGTGGCAGTCTTTAATGAATTTCTATTGTCATGTCAATTTCTTGCGATTAATCGAACATTAAGCTGTAACCACATACCGCCTAGGTGCTGTAATTAAATCCTGGTGTAAGCACCATATGAACTATGAACAATGTATGTGAAGCCAGCTGTGGGGTATATTCAATCCTATAGATTTCTCATTGTTTGGTAACTATTTGCTGCAAATGCAACAAAAATCAATATAAAAAATATTACCCACACAGTATTCTACAGGTTACTTGTTGCAGTATAGTGTTAGGTATTATAGTTGTCCAGTTCCACTGTGCCCGTTATTTAGATATTTCCGTGATCAGACTTTTGAAAACATGGAGATGCATGGGAAGAAAAAATGAAAAGGCAAAAGAATAATGCGTACAAGATGTTCCAGGTATAAAATGTTGCCACATTAAAAAAAAAGAAACATGTACAGAAACTGAAAGACACTGAAAAAATCCACTAATCACACACTTCCCGCCACCACTATTGATTTCAAATTGTCGAATCCTTAGTTATGTTATGATAAAATTAATTTCTGGCCACATTTACCCAGATAGCTGTCATTCCCTCCTAATTAAACGCCTTTCCTGAGCATCTTTTAGTTTTTATGTTCCCACTATTTAATTTCCGCCTAGCACACAATAAAGAATTTACTTTGTTAATCGACTTACTCGTATCCGAGATGCGTACTGCGCATGCGTGATAATAACCCGCCATATTGGATTTTGAACGCCATGAATGAAATGTGTGTTTCGCATGATCCGGTGTTTTAATATATAAAATATATACGTTTAGTAAAGTTGGAAATGTTAGCCTTCGCTTCAAACGCACTTAAATGTATTCAAAAGTTGATCGTCGGTGATAATATACAACGTGAGGTCAGACCACAAAAAAGACAGCGAACTTACGAAAGGTATGTTAATTTACTACCAAGTTGTTGGTTTTTCTGAGTGTAACTTAGTTCTGACATATAACCCATGTCATGTTAATTTGTATTAAAACTGAACTGATTGGGGGAATACTTTAATAGTTTGCCAAAATAAATTAGATAGCGAAATTCATGGTTATACCAAATCAAGTCGCACAGGTGAGAGATCTGCTTGGAAAGCTGTCTTCGCCGTAAGTGCAAACAACAATGGGGTTTAAGGTAGAGATGCAGGTTCGTGGGCACTTGGGAGTGAATTTTTTTTTTTTTTTTTGCTTTTTATTATTCAAACAGTCTTGGCTGTAGACTGTTAAAATTTTGTAGAATTGTGAATAGAGGAACATACTCAAAAGACGATTTTAAAATATAGATAACAGGTACAAACATTCTCTCTTTTGAACGCTTAGTAAGATTTAGCAGGGCTGTACATAAATAATAAAAAAGAAACATGTTGAAAAACAGGAATGACAGGATCTCCATATTATGCACTATATTTAACTTTTTACAGAACGATAATACATTTAAATTTGGAACTGTTACAGCCATTTTAATTATGAGCATTAGCGAACTTCTTACAGAGTGAATTGTTATGCAAATTAGCAATTATCTCAGCTTCTTTTTAGTGCACATCCCAGAACTTTAAAAAAAAAATAGCTTCTAGACGCTTTGACCTTTTGTTTTGAAATTTTCACAAATGATTGACAATATGTTTATCTTCAAAACGCCGTCAGGGCATTGTTTTTGGTTGAACAGTGTTACAACAATCGTACAGACAACTAGCCTTGGTGTTAATTTATGCATAAACTTGAAGTAGTGAAATTTGAGCTGCTGCCCTGCAAAATTGACAACTGGTAGACAGTTTTCAAGACGGCACTTTCTTCATAGTAAACAGATGTACCCATAAACCAATTTTGACAGGAAATAGAAGCATGGTGTAGAAGCTATTTTTTTTTTAATCACTTTTGACCAAAAAAACACATTTTTGTGCATATTTCAAACTACATTGTCCATAAACAAAAAATACAATTTTAAAATTCATACAATAAGCTTTCCGAAAATATATAGTTTTGTGGACAAGGGAGGTCATCTTGGTTTCCTAATTAACTAATTAAAATACCTGTCAGGTAAACTGCATCTCTACCTTAATTTACTAGTTTTCTCAAAAAGAAATGAACTAGTACTAGTAAGTAAGATATAAACTAGAGTACCACTAACAAGTTACTGGAAAAAAGTTTCATTGACACCCATTCCCACCCCAAAATCAAGACGAAAAACAAATATCAGGAACTCATAGCCATGATATACATGTACATGTACACAAAAAATGATAAAAAATATTGAAATGTAACGTTTTATATAGTGAATATTGAAATAATTTAATTAAGCTGCAAGTATAAATAGAACTTAATACTTGTACAACTTAATTAAAAAACAAATATTGCTATACAAGGTGTCTGACAGATTTGAACTCTGTCTGCGGTAGAACCCGGTCAGCGGTTGAAGTTATACAGTTTTCGTCTGCAAGTGTTTTTTATTTCAGTCATAACATGGTAAAGAAATAAAAAAAACTGTACAATACCAGCATTAGTCGTGTTGTTTTTACATAGCAGAGTTAGACAGTCACCAATGCAATGTCTTGTGTTTTTGATGTAATGTCTTTTTTTGTGAGTTTGCATCACTGTAATTGACAACAGTCACAGGAATTATTGAAATCAACAACATGTCAGAAAACAGTAGTATTGCTGGGCGTGTTGTGTAGCATATAGTTTAGTTTTTTTTGTAAACTTGTGTCACTGACCACTTCACACTTCGGCGATTGATTACAACAGGCTGAGTTCGACTATTTTTATCTGGCCAATTTTGACTGTATTCTTATACAAAACCCTCAATGACCTGCAATGCAAAACAAAATGTCACCAATATTTAATGCAACAAAAAAAGTAAGACAGTGTTGTATGATCAGCCCAATGCTATTTAATCTATATCTAAAAAACTTGCACATTACATTAGGTATAGTAATTTAAATCAGGTAATGTTAAATAATAGTAAGATAAGTTCATTATTATATGCAGATGATTTGCTACTGATTTCAGAAATACGGAATTCAATAAACCAATTACAGGAATACTGTCAAAAATAGAAGCTTCAGGTTAATCTAACCAAAACTAAAATTATGATTTTCAAAAAGGGGTAATGAAAGGAATTTTATTACCAAACTTAACATTTAAATGTTTCAATAAATACTCTTAGTCTTATCTTGAAAATCGTAAATTCAGTGAGGCTACATCTTGGCTAGCATATAAGCTATATGTACCAGGACTAAAAAAAAACATTAAAAAAGCATTACCCAAAGAAATACTGCAAGACGTATCCACATCTATGCATATTACTACATGTATATGGATCGTCAATACAAGGTGTTGATATTTTGGGCAACATGAAATGGGATAAAACGCCATTACCCCCGGTACATATTTTTTATTGATTTTTTAAATTATTAGGAGTAAATAAATTTTCATCAAATTCAGCTTGCAGATCAGAACTGGTTATTGGTTTGAGCTAAGAAACCAAACAGAAATAAATGAATGAATGAATTAAATTTCTCATTTGTTGTGAGTTTACTGGTATCATTACCTTGATTTACTTTGAATGATGTCAGCAAAAATTTGAGTAAATTTACCATTTTTAAAATGGCCTGTTAAACTGAACCACATACATTGTATGTGTTTTTTGCCCTAAGCAGTGGTTGTACTCAACATACATGTATACTTTTATTTTTACAGCTATTCAGATTTTGAGGAGAATTTTGGGGCTTGTAATAAAAAATTCAAGTCTGATGATGAAAATGTAAAATACCCTGGTAAGTGAAATTTACATTTATTTATGATGCAGTTGTTAAGATTTCCAATTCTAAAAATGAGATGCTCCAATAGAATTGTAAGTGTTGCATCATGGGAATATAATCAAATATAATCTAAAATTGATAAATTATATGTACTGTATATCTGCACCTACTTTAGTGTCTAGATGCTATGAACCACTTAATATCATGAAAGAGCAATTTTCGTAAGTCAGTTTAAATAAAAAAAAATAGTAGCGGTAAAAATATCACTGGGATCCTACGTCGTGGTGTGCCAGTGACTTTCGTAAAATGTTGTCTTCACAAATACTATAAAATCTTGAAATTGAGAAAATTTCTAGCAGTTCATATGCACGACTGTAATTAGTCCCCATTTGGACGTAGTCCGAAAACGAGGACTTACGTTTTGCCCTGTGTGCGTCCGTGACCACCTGTATCTCGAACATGCATGGACCGATTAAGTTCAAACTTCACTCGTACATCACACATTATATGGGACAATATGCACATGCATTTTTTTCATAATCCGATTAACGATAGACGAATAGCGGCCATTTTAAGGCCGAAAATGCATCAAAATCGCACATTTTCACCATTCCGGACCCGGATCTCAGTTATGCATGGACGGATTTTGTTCAAATTTGGTACATACATTAAACATAATAGGACCTTGAGGCACGTCATTTTTTTTGTTTTTTGGATCAGGTTTGAAATGGCCGACTGGCGGCCATTTTGTTTTAAAGAATTCAGTTCTGGATCCGTATCCAAGACATGTCTGGATTGATCAAGTTCAAACTTCACACACACATGGTACATCATGTCACAAATAGATATGTGCATTTGTTTCATGATCCGCTTAACAATAGCTGAATGATGGCCATTTTAAGGCCGAAAATGCATCAAAATCACGTATTTTCACAATTCCGGAACCGGATCTCAGTCATGCATATATAGATTTTGTTCAGATTTAGTACAATGTGTTGTACATATGCAGGTGCATTTCGGTCATGATCTGCTTTGAATGTATATATCACTCAAATATGAACGAAACGGGAACGTGTCATTGACAATGACTTGTTACATTATTAATGTATATCTTGATATTTTTCAGTTTCAAGTCAACGGAATGGATTAAATGGTAGTGAAATTGACAGAATTTCTTCAGGTATCTCAGCTATGTGACACATTATTGCTCTAGCTTATATTTCTCTGGAAGAAAGCAAAGATTATTAGACTTATTGTTTGACCTCTGTGTGTCTGTTCGTTCGTCTATGTGTGCATGCGTCCGAACCTATATTTAAACATACCTTGACTGATTACATTCAAACTTCGCACATACATAATACACATATGCACATCGATTAAAGATGGCTGAATGGCAGCCATTTTTGTGCTGAAAATCATCAAAATCAAGCATTTATGGATGGATTTTGTTCTAACTTGGTACATACGTTGGACATTGTTTTTCAAATCGGATGTAAAATTGCCGACTGGCAGCCATTTTGTTTTAAGGAATGCAGTTCTAGTGCCATATCTCTGACATGCTTTGACTGATTATGTTCAAATTTCATATATTTGAGCGCCAGTCGCTAATAAATATTCATGAGCTAATTAATATTCATTTTCTATTCTACTAGCTACAATTTAACTACTTTAATTATTTTAACTTTTATTTTAAATATTTCAATGTAAAATTAATCTGATTTGATAATAGGGAAAAATATATACACTTCATTTTCGCAATCACTTCTAAAATACGTATTTTGAGATATTTTCAAAGCACGTCGTCAGTTTGTTACAGCCAAAGTGGAAGCAAGAATTTAATTGCTTTCTTTTCCGATGGAAGGCTGGTAAATCACATTAATAATAAAAAATAAGTATTCCTTGTATAGCTGACTGAATATAGTTATGAATTTAATTTTATGAACGAGTCATGAAGCCAAAAACTACTCTCGAGTGCAAGTGCAGATTAAAGGAACGACAGCTTGACTTGATCGATGCCGGTGAAGTGAGCAAGTTATTGTTCAACTCGACAAATCTTACACGCAACTAAACTTGTGATGGTAATCTTTCCTTGTGTTTATTTATCATTGTCTTCCCTTCCATTATCTTGATGTACGGCATATTCCGATCTGGTTCGTTTGTTAAAACTAACAGAATGTCAATCGGAGGTTAAAACAAAAACACATTAGGCAGATGTCACACGTGTACGTTGATTTTGAACAGCGGTGTCTTCTTTCAAGTTTGTTGTGTGTTAATTATTTACATTGTGTTGTTGCGTGTTAAAGGACAGTAGAGTGATGGTCCAGTTGCCTACATCCTGTGTGTATCATAAAGAAATAGAATAGTGCCGGTCGCCAACTTTTTGTCCTGGTCGGAAATTCTGAGTGTCGGTGCTGACCAGCATGGGCAGATCCCTGAGATGTACAGATATATTTGTTTGACTATCTGATACAAAATAGATCAGATCTTGCTCATTTATGGATGGATTTTGTTCAAACTTGGTACATACATAAGACATTATGGGACCCAGATGTATGTCATTTTTTACTCCCGTGTGCGTATGTATGTCACTTTTTTTTGTTCCACCATTATCTCAAGAACCACTAATCAAATTTTGATGAAACTTGGTACATAGATGCTCTGAACTAATGCGCAGATTTGATTAGTTTTAGAGAAAATCTGTGCATATTAATTAGCTAATTTGCATACTAAGTCAATATCAGCTTTTCCACTGATATCTCAAGTACTAATCATCATATTTCAATGAAACTTGGTACATAGATGTCATAGGACACTGCACAGACCTGATAGTTTTTAGGGTAATATCAGTACATATTAATTACCTAATTTGCATAATTAATTAATTTTCAGCTTTTGATCATCATATTTCAATGAGACTCGCTACATATACCCTCTAGGACTATGCAGAGACCTGATTAGTTTTAGGGTAAATAATTGTGGATATTAATTACCTAATTCGCATAATTATTTCATGTTTTTCATGAATGTTCCACTGATACTGTGTAATACTTTATTTTCGCGGGGATTTTATTTTCGCTTATTTCGTGGTAGGGAAATTAGCGCGAAAATAAAAACACCGCGAAGTGCTGTTTTAGCATCTCATGAATAATTAATGAGGCCAGCTTGTCTCCATATTGGATCGTAGTGAATAACACGCTACGTTTCTACACACACTCTAAAACAATATACAAGTTATTACATGACAAAATTAAGTTTTATTTCCTTTACATAAATATTTATACATACAAATACTAGTACAGTAAAAAAAATGGCAATATTAATTCACAATTTCACAAGTTCGTTCAGTTCCGATGTAGGGCAAATATTCATAGCCAATACTATTATTTTACACAACTTTCTTAAACAAGTCCCGCCAGTGTAAATCCACTGACGATAATGTCATAACATTTAATCAACCCTTTAGCATGCAATGGTTTCATGTACGATGTACTAAGATCTACGTTGTTAGCGTCAATACCTGTAACATTTACACTGTTGTCGAGTGATTCGGTAACTTTGTCTGCATACCAGGACTGGAAACAGTTCTTTAATTCGTCTTTGAATTCTTTGTTGACTGCCAAATCTAATGGCTGTAGTTGATCGGTGCAACACGCTGGAATATATATCACATGTATATGATTTCTTTGCAGTATTTCATGCATCTCTTTAGATCGGTGGGCTCTGTAAACATCGAGCAAACACAGAGCTCGTTGATTTTCTTGGAGGCCAAGTAGGGTGTGTTGATTTTTGAAGTACGGCACAGTGTTCTCCCCAGGAATTTAAACCACTGTGGCGGCCTAATTTGTATATAATTAGCATATCATTTACATAATAATAAAAATTGACCAAAGCACATTTACACCCACACAATAAACAACATATATTTTTAAAAACAAAGTGGCAGATATTTATTTGCTTCACACAGTGTTATAAACACTTTTATTTTGGGCACTTTAGTAATATTAATGAGGTCCGTCACAGGGAAAATATTTTTTTTTTGGAGTCAAAATATTACGTTTCACAATTTAGAAGAGTTTGAATTTAAAAATGAAACATTCTCGAAATGCAAATGCTGCAGACTAAAAAGAAACAAATAAATTGTAAAAGGTTAAATGAAACTCATCTGAAACGTTTCAGCCAGGATTATGTTCACCACTTTCATGATCTTATTTACTACAAAATTCTCCTTCAAAAAATCAACCACATAATTATTTGGCGGATTGTTGGTTATTATTCCGACCATCGGCTTCTAACGTTTACATTTACAGTAAATGAACGAACAAAT